CATCTTCGGTGACAAACGTCTTACCTCATTTGTTCCATATGAGGTTCTCCTGGATGATGGCTTCTATGGAAAACCGATTGTCCTCGAAAGTGAACCAGATCAAGAATTCCTCGGCTTCATGGTTGAAACAAAGCCGCTGGAACTGATTTATCAGGGACCAACACAGGTGTCACAAGTTCTCTCACCGTTCTCAGCTTCACCTCCTTCGGTTCTTCTCAGCGGCTTTCGGTCGCGTTGTCATATTGTCATCAAGGGTGCTTTTCCATCCCTACGTGTCCAGCAAGGTTTAGCACAGCTAATTCGATTGTACTCACGAGCTGGTTTTCCCAACGAGGAACTTCAATCCATCTCCAATCAACTTTTGATTCAGCATCAGAACTCGAGCACCACCGGAAAAGCTGATCTGCGGCCTTCTCAGGGTTCTCGTTCTTGGTTGGTTGGTTTTGTTTTCGCTTGTGTTTCTGGTCTTCTTTTTCTCGTGTTTGTCGTTGTCTTTTCGTTCTCTCCCTCAGCTTTTTCGGCTCAAACTCCGCTCTCCTCTTGTTTCCTCCTTGTTTGAACGCTCATGGATCACGCTCAAGGGCGGGCGTTCCACCACCATTTGGCCAGAGCAATTATGCATCTCAATTATCTGGCAGGGCTCCTACCTTTCTTCGAGCCCTCCATTGAATATGATGAAGGGCCGCCTCCGGCCAATCTCCGTTTGGATCATCCCACCACCAGAGGTCTACACACTTTTGTGCCTCGACCAACATCGGAAGGTCCCCCGACCTTGGTATCACATGGAGGTATTCCTTCCCACATGGTCGTGAATCCAGAACCATACCTTCGACCGGCTGCAACAAGTTCGCCACCTGTCAATGCCTCCATGCTTGCCACGAATACTTCTCGTCATGCCACTCTCATGACGGACCCTGGACCTACTCCGATCCCAGCGTCCACAACAACGATTACCTTCCCTACAGCGCCAACACGCACTACCACTCCTGTTCCAATACGCTCAAAGCAAAGGGCAGGTCCTCTGGTTGATCCACAACCAAAAAAGAAGCAGAAAGGGGAGTCCATTCCTGAACCCAGACTCGCCCACCATCCCGATGCCGATCATTCGACATCGCTACCAGTCATATCAGACACCCGCTCAGGCGACATGAATTCTGATGACTCCGATGGTGAGGTTGTATCCAGAGAGGACGGCACTTACACACATGCTGCAAAGGCAAGACCCAAAACACCTCCTCCTACATTGACTCCCAATCCAACAGCTCCGCCGTCCCCACATATGCATATCCTTCATGCCACTACTGTCGCTACACCACCTAATCCGCTCCTTGATCAAGCTCGTCCTTGGACCCATGCCGATGATCAAGAATTGATCGGCATGAAAAAGGACACAAAGTCCAGACCCTCGTGGAGAACAATCGGAGCAAGACTCCATCGAGATCATCAGCTCTGCAAGATCCGCTGGGGACTTTTGAAACAAACATCCGAAGTGGCTGACCCACCGGGTCCGATCAACGCACCTCACGAACCTGAGGGTGATGACTGACTTTAGCATCAATTCCTGCGATGTCAAAAAAGACGCTATTGCTGCCTTTTGTTGCTGGGTTTTGCTTAGGGTTTCCCTTCCTTTTGCTTTTCTCCTTGTTTTTTAGTTCTTCCTTTGGTCTGTAGTTCTTTTGCCTGGGATGAATGCTCTTCCTTAGTATCTGTTCACCCACAGCAAGTATGGCTCATTCATATCATCGTCAACGAACAGCTCCTGACCGCTCCCGTTCTCGGGACGACAATATGTGGCAGAACCGTGGCACTCAGCAACATGATTGGCAACGAAATCCTCGACCTGAAGAACCACCTCCTGCCCCTCAAGTCTGAAAAGTCTTGGTCATCGTTGACATTGAACAAGTCCGCCCGCTTATGAACAAAACCCATGATGACTCGATGGCCGCTACAACATGTGAGGTTCTCCCTCGCCTCACTCCGGTCGAAGAACGTGCATTGTTCACGTTCAACATCCTGCTCAATACACACCGGTTGGAAACCTTCCCGGTCTACAACCTGTTGTATTGCATCAGCCAGCACATTTGGTATACGTGGGATCGATTCTTATCTCCTTCGGCCATGGACATCAGATGGCAAGATGATACTGGAGATACGTTTGCTCTCCGCAACGAAGAATACCTCGTCACCTATCTGAACGCATACCGCTCTCACTGGACTGAGGGACAAGAACATAATGAGTTCTTCTCGCATCATATTCATCCCTTTACGTCTCACATTCAACCTTACATCATGCGTTTGAGCTGCCACGAGGCTCTTCCAAACCGCAATATGCTTCCTTAAGGTTAAAAAGTCTCTTACATGTAAGGACATGGGACTCTCTATCTTGTGTGATTTGCTTCTGCTTCTTGTTGTTTTTACCCGCTACATTCTTTAGTTCTCGGCTCCAGCTGTACCATGACCAGACGTGATTCCTCATTTGCCGGTCTCACGCATCCTTCCTCATCCATGAATAAGTCACGTCGTGTTTCATGGAGATCCCGCAGTCATGGCCAATCCAGTAGCACTGCTGCTCCTTCGGATCGAATGCAGCCACCCCGTGGCGACAATGATCCCCAAGCTGGAAGTTTCCTCTCACCCAATGCATCAGGCGAGTACACAACCAACTATGGGTACTCTTCGGCAAGTCTTGCCACACCCATACCATTTCCTGCCGATCATCAAGCTCCAATTATACCTACTCCCACAGAAGAATCATATCCACTCCAGCAAGAGATGGAGGAAGTCCGACGTCAGCTCCATGCATACTATTTCGTGGAAGTCCAATCACCTCCAGAAGATGACGATCAACCAAAACTTCGACGACTTATGGTGACGGAAGTGGATCAACGGGGCCGCCACCACAATAGGCAGCCTGAATATTTTTTCAACGGCATCATCGGCCACGTTCGTGCCGGTCAGAATGGCTGGATTGACTCATGGGATCAATCCTCCCAGCTCGCCAACTACTGGCGACGCTACTTTCAGATTCCCGAGACCTCTCCATATGGCAACTGGCGTCCCTATCAAGCTGACGGACCAGAAAGCCCTATATCGGCACATGAATCCGTCATGGAAGACACCGACTCTCTCATTGCCAATGCTGACATCAATCCACCTCCTGTTCAGATTCACCAACTGGCAACATTCTTCTGGAACGTCCTCAACAATGACAGGGAGGCCAACCTGGCCATACTCGAACGTCTGGAGGATCCTGAAGGAGATCTTTCCCGACACCCAGTTCAGATCTTCTCGGCGGCAGACTTGGCTCATCTTGCTAGTCACTTGGCGGAATCCACGAGGACCTTGTCTATCCAAGCACGCCGCATAGAGGCCTTACCTGATGACAGCCTGTGAGGTTTAGGATTAATTCATTCGATGTTTCTTCCCTGTGTTTTGAAGCCATTTCCGCTTCAGGGAACGGATAAGAGCTCTCCAGGTGATGAATGGAAAAACGACCCTGCTGCGGCAGGGTGTGTGTGTGAAACGTCTGTACAGACGTAAAACTTCCATGGCATTGTTGAATCTGGTTTTTTGGTTTTATTTCAGTTTAAAACAAGCAGGGGTCAGTTTCAAACAAGCAGGGGGGCAGTGAATCTCATTCCATCCACTGCCCAACGAAGACGGTGGTTTGAGATTGTGATATCGGGACTGATCATCCCGACGTACCTGCATTTTTCCAATTTACCGTCAATGGCAACCGGCTAAGCCAAGTACCGGCATGTCGAATTTCCATTTGAAGAGTCTCTACAGCACTGTTGTCGCAATCTGGATTTATTTGGTTATTTGGGTATTTACAACTGGTCAGCTGCATCAGAACCTTCTTCAGAGCAAGGACGTAGAAAATTTACTTCGCCATGAATTTCACGCTGGATCAACTAATTTTTCCTGGCAGTTTGTAAGGGATTGTCTTGTGCACATGAGATGCATTCCACAACAGTAATTCGCAATGATGTTTCTGAGCAAGTGTGTATATGGTTCAGTACCTCCATTTTAGGATCCTGAAATTACCATAGATGATATCTCAGGTTATTTTAAGTATCTAATCCGTTCTAAAACGATAAATAGAACCACTAGGTTTTGATGGTTTTTGAGGATTTCCCTTTCAAAGGAGTAAGACTATGAATGCAAACAATGCGTCCAGGAGGCAAGAGTTCCCTTGTGCAAAACCTACTGCAAAGACTCTTAAGGACAAAATAAATAAAATATATAATTATTACTATTACTATTATTACAAAACAACATCAAAATAACTCACAAAAAATGACTCTCACAAAACCCCCAAAAAAAAAAAGCTTCGGTGGTATCCCCAACAGCCGCAACGTTTTATTTTTACAAATCTTTCTGAAGCGTGCTGCGAAGCCAAGCGGTGGAACCTGTTGGAACCTGACCTGGCCCTGCACCAAAGATTCCCAAAACCTTCTCCAGGACCTTCTCTGCAACCTTCTCCAGAACCCGTTGAACCTGACTTGGCTTTGCACCAAAGCCTCCCAAACCTTCTCCAGAACCTTCTCGGGAACCCTGTTGAACCTGACCTGCTCTGCACCAAAGCCTCCGGGAACCTTCTCCGGAACCTTCTCCGGAACCTTCTCCGGAACCCGTTGAACCTGACTTGGCTTTGCACCAAAGCCCCCCAAACCTTCTCCAGAACCTTCTCGAGAACCCTGTTGAACCTGACCTGGCTATGCACCAAAGCCTCCCAAACCTTCTCCAGAACCTTCTCGGGAACCCTGTTGAACCTGACCTGCTCTGCAGCAAAGCCTCCCAGACTCTCTCCGGAACCTTCTCCGGAACCTTCTCCGGAACCTTCCCCGGGAACCCTGTTGAACCTGACCCCTGTCTCTGCACCAAAGCCTCCCAGACTTTCTCCGGAACCTGGTTGAACCTGACCCGGCGCCTGCACCAGTGCGGAGCTATTCTGGGCCCCCCCCCCCGGAATGACCGGAACATTCTCAGGTGGCGAATCAGGTCATCACCGGGTAGCGCTTCATGTCTTCGAGCTCCGCGGTGGCTTGGTTTGAAAAAGTCGTGGCGATGGCAGCAACTCCGGTGTCTTCTTGGGGTGGGTACCATCTCATCCTGGGCCAGTCATCCCAGTGCTGTGGAGATTTCACCCTCTTCCCCCCCCAAAAAAAAAACTTATGAAGAGAAATATTGGTGAAATTAACCTCGTCTATCATTCATGATCTCTCCGGCATTCCTATACTTAGTACAAACAGCGGCTCCTGGGCCACAGCCACCAAGACACTGTTATCTCAAAATAATTCATTTCTGCCACCAATCAGTTCACCGGAGAATTATATAACCCCAAACTCCTTTCCAGCAGGCTTTGAAGGGATGTCCATCATAGAGCTACAAATCGCCCACCAGTCACCAGTCCTGCTTACCTGGTGCTAGAAAGAATGTCTATGATGAGGGAAGCCGGCCCACCAGAATTCACCAACCTGAAAAGTTCGGCCAGACCTTGGGATAATAAATCCAACCCTGACTATAATTGGTCCAGACCAACGGTCCACTTTTGACGGTCTGAACTGCTGCACAGGAGCTGCTGTCCAGTAAATGGATCCACAGAATACGGCGACCACCTCACACCTGAACCTGACAGCGACAGAAGAATTTCCACCCAATGGAAGGGTCAAAAATCTCTAAGATCCCCTTCGAACTTCCATTGGGTCCATGTTCGGAGAATGAGCATCCCCCTTGGCAGGTTGGCAGGTTGTTCACCATAATGATCCACCCTTGGGATATTGACCAAGCAAGCTATGCTCAACTTATCTTTGCGGATGGGACAAGAAGCCAAAATCTGCCATCATCTTCAGGGAGTGAATGGCAGGCGGAGTCCTTGTCTTCGCAGCCTCTGTTGACATCGCTAGCCACGACTGGTTTCGTGCTGGGAGGTACAAAATGAATGCCGATTTTTGAATACCAACTCTGAAGGCTTGGACTATGCACACAATGCTCTTGGTTGATTGAATAATCCATTTATAAACCGCATTTGGCTGCTTCAGCATCAGTCGACCCCCACAAATCAAGCCAGCCCTTCTCAATCACAATAGAACGTTTGAAAAATACAATTGTGAGGCTACCAACGATGTCGTTTTGGAGAAATATAGGGTCGCGGTGGGTTTACTGTAATACTGTGTGTGTGTGCGCATCTATAAATACATAATATACCACATATATACATATACAGTATTATACACATTGTCCACCTGTCTTAATGTACCTATTGGCCGTTGGGGAGACAACCCCTCTATTCAAAGACATCACGGGGTCAAGCCAGAGTCTCAGCCCCAGCTTTGCCGCAGCGATGGATGAATGCTGCGCCCCAGCCGCAATACTTGACCCACTCCTCGGGGCAAACTGCGATGGTGCCGTCCCTCCCAGGGCCCCAGGCTCCCCAGGGCCCCAAGGGCCCCAGCCCCCTGCGCCCAGCTTCAATGCACACTTCTGGCTTGATCATCGAGCAAAAGGTATGCACAAGATCCTGCAACTGCAGTGTTGGAAAGGTTTCCTCTACCAAGTGGTGCACCCCAGTATTTGAGGTTGGCACATGTACAATATTAATCCTTGTTAACCTAGCTTAGCTCGTGATTCACTTTTCCTTGTTTGGGGGGCCACACCTTGTAGCATCCTGGGTTCATGAAGGGTTCCATCAGCTATGATGAGACCACCCCATAGCCAACAGAGCCACAGTCCTGGTGAGTGATGATCAAAAAGTTGAGGTCTGTCTGGTGGCCTCTCTCCAACCACTCCTGGCTGCAAAATTGAGGTAAATCTGATTGAGGTTGAATGTGGTTTTTGACTCGTGCCCAAACGGATTCAGAAGGCAATGTCATCTTCCTTGCTTCCTGGCAGAGATCTATGTGCCACCCAAGTCTGGATTTGACCACATATTGACCCGAGGTCATAACCATCTGGAAACCTGAAATCTCCGTACTTCTGGCCAACCCCATATCCTTGGTTACACATCCTAAATTTGGTTGGCCCCCTGCTTCCACCCTTCGGGGCATCACCACCACGACCCCGTGACCCGCCAAGCCACGCTAAAGCGAAAGAGACCCCGGAGGTGCGCGGCTCGCCGTTGCTCGGGAAACGGCGGCTGGATGCCAACCTGGAGCGCCACCGGTTGCTTGAACTACTTGAGTCGCGAGGGGTTGGCGAGCGGAAAGCTAAGCGGGGGAAGATGGGAGCCAGTCGTGCCAGCTGCGAACGGGAACATGGGCGAGGTGGGGGGATTGAGCCCCTGCTCATCCGCTTCCCAAAATGCGACCGGGGTGCTGTGGGGGTTCGCGTTAAAAATCACACCTTTGGCATTTGGCCCGCCTCATCCCTTGCTAAAGCAAGAAGAAACTCCAGCTAGCTACTGCTAGCTTTCGTGATTTGGGGACCAACAAATATGTGGATCTTTGGTGAATCAAATAGCAACTGCAGATCCTTCATGAAGCATACTTGAACCATATGAATCGAAACTGCAGAGATGGGGTCTCGCACATGAAGTAAATATTACTATTGTTATATGAATGATGTGAAATGATGGATTTCTCCTGACCGCAACTGTTCCCATCTCAGGCCGTTGCAAAGTCATCCGAGTTCAGCAACTCAACACCTGGAACCACGGGCCCTGCTGAATGTTTCGGCCACGTGGCCCCCTACCGCCCTCTGGAATCAACTGACACACGGAGGTACCCTTCCACCGATTGACATCCGTTTCCATACCCAAATTGCCATTTCGAGGGCAACATCCCCGACTTTCAGACCCAAGCTTTCATATTGCTAGGTCCGGATCCCATGATATTCCCTTATGTGATATACATATATACATTTACATTACATTACATTACATTTACATTACATTACATTAACATTACATTACATTACACTACATTTACATTTACATTTACATTACATTACATTACATTAACATTACATTACATTACATTACATTAACATTACATTAACATTACATTACATTGCATTACATTACATTACATTAACATTACATTACATTACATTTACATTACATTACCATTAACATTACATTAACATTAACATTAACATTAACATTTACATTAACATTAACTACATTACATTTACATTACCATTACATTACATTACATTACATTAACATTAACATTAACATTAACATTAATATTAAACATTAACATTAACATTTACATTTACATTACATTACATTTACATTACATTTACATTACATTACATTACATTAGCATTACATTACATTACATTACATTTACATTGCATTACATTACATTACATTTACATTACATTACATTACATTAACATTACATTACATTACATTTATATTACATTACATTACATTTACATTACATTACATTTACATTACATTACCATTAACATTACATTACATTTATATTACATTACATTACATTTACATTACATTTACATTACATTACATTTACATTTTACATTACATTACATTTACATTACATTTGCATTACATTACATTACATTACATTTACATGACATTACATTCACATTTACATTTACATTTACATTTACATTACATTTACATTTACATTTACATTTACATTTACATTACATTACATTACATTATATTTTCATTACATTACATTACATTACATTTACATTACATTTACATTACATTACATTACATTTACATTACATTACATTTACATTACATTACATTACATTTACATTACATTACATTACATTTACATTACATTACATTACATTTACATTACATTTACATTACATTACATTACATTAACATTACATTACATTACATTACATTGCATTACATTACATGACATTAACATTACATTACATTACATTTACATTTAATTACATTACATTACATTACATTGACATTACATTTACATTACATTACATTACATTAACATTACATTACATTACATTGCATTACATTACATTACATTGACATTACATTACATTACATTAACATCACATTACATTACATTACATTAACATTACATTACATTACATTAACATTACATTGCATCACATTACATTACATTAACATAACATTACATTACATTACATTAACATTACATTACATTACATTACATTTACATTACATTACATTACATTCACATTACATTACATTACAGTACATTACATTACATTACATTAACATTACATTACATTACATTTACATTACATTACATTTACATTACATTACATTAACATTACATTACATTACATTTACATACATTTACATTACATTACATTACATTACATTAACATTACATTACATTACACTACATTTACATTTACATTACATTACATTAACATTAACATTACATTACATTACATTAACATTACATTACATTGCATTACATTACATTACATTAACATTACATTACATTACATTTACATTACATTACCATTAACATTACATTAACATTAACATGAACATTAACATTAACATTAACATTACATTACATTACATTTACATTAACATTAACATTACCATTACCATTACATTACATTACATTAACATTAACATTAACATTAACATTAATATTAAACATTAACATTAACATTTACATTACATTACATTACATTTACATTACATTACATTAACATTAACATTACATTACATTACATTTACATTACATTACATTGCCATTAACATTACATTACATTAGATACATTAATTACATGCATATGCACATACATATGACTATCCCATGATATTCCCAATGTCAATATATATGATATACAGGTGGCTTCCAAACGGGAAACCCTGAAACAGGCTGGCCTTTGAGGTCCGGCAGCTGGAGAACCTCGCTGTAGCTCCGTCGCCGCGAGCAGAACTCCAGGTGCGACTTCAACAGCCTCAGTAAAACGTCGCAGGTGCGTAGCCGCAGGTTGGTCCGAAAACCACCAGGTTATACCAGGTTATTATATTTTAATGGTGATTGATGATTGATTGCCTATGGTGATTGATGATTGTTATTAATGGTCATTAATGGTTATTATTAACTACCAGGTTTGTTAAACTGCGGTAAAGATATTTTAATGGTGATGGATGATTTCAAGTCGGTAAACTGCGGCTGAATAAATTTTAAATCATCCATCACCAGGATCACCATTAAAATATGTTTGACATTCTAGCAGAAAATCATCAGAATCATAATCCAGCTTTAATCCACTGCAGTTAGAATAATACGACACCTCACTTCGAATATTCTAAAAAAACATTTGCAGAATATTCCAGAGCCGGATCAATTCCTGCGACACACGTGGAAATGTTGCTTTTGTTCCCCATGTTGCTGTACGTTCCAAGTCATTTTGTCTTCAAATGCCACCCATGGCTGTTGGTTTCCATGTATCACCTACTGTATCTATCTAAATTCCAATGTACCGTGCAAAAGTCGATGTATGATGATGTATCTATCCAATGGCTACAGACTCACTTACACCCGACAGAATCGCATCACTTGCACCACCCAATCACTTACACCACCAGCAATCACTTACAATTACAACCAACAAATTCGACTCACTTGCACCATCACTCCTGTTCTAGTGAATGAGACAACTTCGGGGGACGACCCCTTTAGGGTTTCTTTGCTTCACTCGGATGAGGATGGTGATGAACATGATGATGGTATGATATGCTGAATGTTTCGGTTGTTGATCTCAATGATGCTGATGATGCAGAAGAAAAAGACGTGAATGTGATGATGATTATGATGATGATAAAAACTGTTGTTATCATTATTATTGTTCTTATGATTGTCATGATGGCCATGGCAATAATGACTTGGAACATGATCACTACACGTGATTCTGACCCAGAACCATGATGGCAGTGTAAGCGATACAAATCACGCGGTTGTAAGCGATGCAAATTTGGCGGTTGTAAGCGATACAACGACCCATCTAATGCACCTTGAAGTCGCTTGACTATTGTAAATCTTGCTTCTTGCTTAGGTTTTTGTATGAGAGGGGTTTCTCCGAAATGTTCAGAACACTGAAAAACCTTGCACTTAGACTATTTGAAAGAATGTGTGAATGTGATCACATTTCCAATGTTTATATCCCCAAACCTGCACAGAAGCAGCAACGCTTCAAGCTTTCAAAAAACGGCCCTTCATAGCTTGGCTCAAGACAATCTATAGATTTTGCAGGAATGAAGCGTTTTCTTGAAAGAACCTAACCCCGACCCTGCTTGAGGACTTAGTGCTTCCCAAATCACATTGCCATGATTGCAAATGCCACACTTCAAGAAGCAATGCTTTTATTGATATCTTCAATGTCGAATATTCTAAGTGCAAGAGACCACATGCACGTAGAATATTGTGGAATTTTTCGACCGGACCGGGGAGCTCAAGGATCTGAACCAAAATATTCTAAGTGCAAGAATGCTACTATGATAGGTAAAGCATCAATCACCATTAAAATGTTAATAGGCAATCAATCATCAATCACCATAGCATACAATAGTATGCGTATATATATATCAGGTATTTTAATAGGTATTTATCATGGAGCCCACTGAGCCAAAACCATACCCAAAATGTATCAAAATGTAACACACTACCAGAGGGTAGTGCTGTAAATTCTGGTGATTGAACCATTGAACCATCGAAAAACATTGCATTCTGCCACAACTATGTCTATGACTTTCAATGGATGATTTATTTTGTCGGTTGAAACCCTGGTAGTTTTGCCGCAGTGTTGAAAAACAGCAAGAACTGTCCCTTCAACCAATTCTGCAATGATATTTCTTCCTCAGCTTCTTAGGGGAGTTCGCCAGTGTTTAAGAGTTTAACCACCATTTTCCCGATGTTCCGTCAAGTGTGTTTGACAGTCAAAACCTCATTCATATAATGTCTGGTTGGGGGCCTATCTTTGTACGAAAGATACTATCACTTTTATATTACCGGGAATAATTGCCGCGAATGTCCGGGAAGAAATGGGACCAAAGCAGGACGAAAGTATCTTTTGCCACTGGGTGACGCTGGATCCGTCATCCCGCGCGGCTTCTTGTAGATTCCAACCTGCAGGGTCGGCTACAGGGATCCACACCTCAACCTGACAAACATGGTGCCCCCAAATCCAGCGCCTCGGAAACTTCGGTGTCGATCAATAGCGGCACCTGTCATCGGCACTGAGGTGACAAGGGGCCAGCTGTTGACCGCTCCCAAATGTCCCGGCCTGACCACCTTTTCTGCACGCCAAGACCTCCCGAACGTGCACAGCCGTCTGCACGCAACGAATGTATGGAGAGGTGATGATGACGTCAATCCTGGGGCAAGCATCGGCCATGCAGCGTTTGTGGGTGCAGCTGGCTTTTAGAGGACATACGGTAGTTCAGCTCGTGCTCCAAGAATATCTATTTGTCTATTTATTCATCCATCCATCCATCCATCCATCCATCCGTCCATCCGTCCATCCATCCATCCATCTGTCCTATCTATCTACCTATCTGTCTATCTGTGTGCGTATGTGCACATGCATGCAGACACCTTGAGCGACATTTAGCTTGAGAAGGAATGGCGTTTGCACAGGGGCCCTTGGCGACACCTCCAGGCCTCCAGGCTGTTTGATTGTTGAGTGATGTTGAGTGAATGAAAAAAAAGGAGGGAAAAAGGAAAGAAAGAAGGAAAAAGAAGGGAGGACTTGGAGGACTTGTCATAAGTCAGTCTGAAAGCTGATCCATAGGTGTGTCTGGAGACCCTGGTGCGCTGGCGCGACACCAAAGACAATGTCCCCTGGCTCCGCCAAATAGGACACAACAACTGGTTCCGGGACAGTCAAGTTGCCCAGCACCATTGCTCTCAAGGAATTCTCGAAGCAATCGCGCTTGAACTTTCGCATGACTTCTGCCTGGACATGGCATGTGGAGACCTGTCATATGGGTGTTTCTCAAAATTTGGGGTGCCCCAAACCATTTTGCTTGGCGTTTCCATTGGTTTCCCCATGTTTTTGATGGGTGGATGATGTTTTTTGGGGCCCCCGTTACGGGAAACCCCAAGGCAAACGGCACCTCTGCTGGTGATGGGCGGGTCCATCGGATAAATCCGAGAGTCTGGATGCCTGGCGAACACCAATCTGCGATAATCTGCGGTCCCAAACTTTGTCCGACGCATCCAACGTGTTGGGAGGCATGTTCAGTTGGGCCGCAGTGTGCAGAGACCAAAAAACGAGGTAGACTGGATTGCCAGATTCTTTCTGAGGACATGATTGATAGATGGATAGATAGAGAGATACCTACATAGACCATAGACAGAGTTACATAATCATAATCAGACATAAACAATCATAAACATATAGATTCTATAGATTATGAATTCTGAAGGATTTTGATGATTTTGACGTATTCTGTCTCTGTTTTTGGTCCAAAAGCTTGGCTTTCCAGCTGCCCTGAAAACCAGAATCGCCAAGTGGCTGGAACCATGCGTCCTCATCAGCAAAGTCCAAGCGCTCCGAATGCCCTCGGTCGAAAAAAACACAGGTCAGTTGGTGTGCGGAAAAAGGGGTTGGTTCCCACGAAACCTGATGGTTGAAAGATGTTGAAAGGTTTCTACCCATCAAACCTAATGGTCTCCTTCCTGCAAAGATCTATTAAACCAAAGAAGTTTTTTGAATATCTTTTGACAAAAACCAATAGCCCGGAAATCCCATTCACAATTCACTTTCCCTTGAGGCTTCACAGCTCATGTGAGTTCAAATGATCACAGAACTGTTTAACTATGATCTAGCTCGACAGGTTACAATTCAACAGCCCTCATCCTGTTCTTCCTGTGTTCAGGAAACCTTTTCCACAGAATGCCAGGATATGCCAGGTCGCGCATGACAACCAGCACTTGCTCCCAATTCCCTTTTTGCTTTTGCATGCCACCTTGCAGCGGAATCAGGTCAGTTGATGGTCAGTCGATTAGGAATTCATCCAGCTCAGCAGGCTGGTGATTGAATTAATGACGCAACCGTCCCAGGATGGAAACCCGGAAACCCTACATTTAAAGGCAACAATAACATAATAACAATACCTGTTTGTTGTAGATTTCCTAACATCACCAATTGAAACCATGGCTTCCAGATGGCAGACGAATCACAGCACGTGGCCGCCATGTGCAGGAGCAGTTGACCGCAACCGCAACGCTTGCATTGGGGGCCCGCGGATTTCTTGAAACCAGCGCCTTTCGAAAAGGAACTGAACAGTCTGGTTGCTTAAGGGCCTCATCTTACCCTGGCGGATACCCTGACGTGGAATGAAACAATGGTAAAACTGGTGAGTATATTAAGTATATGGGTTTGTCTGACACTAGGGTAGTGTTTTTCAGGCACGGTTTATGCAGAAAACAGCTGAAATTGCTTTGGCTGTTAAAGGCTTCTGATCTATGTGTCATCACGGCGTAGATGGAGTGTTTGAGCCATCAGAATTTGCACAGGGCGTCGCATTCAACCTATGGTGATCAAGGTTGGCAGTAAATCCTGGGTTTATACTGATTTGTCTGTCATCCACATGAGTTTACCATGGATTATCCGTAGTGATTTATAATCAAAGATAATGTATCAAGATGATTTGCCCATCAAGAGATGTCCAATTACTAGGCTGGCATATCAAAGGACATGTCTTGCTTTCGGATCAAATGTCAAGGAGACTGCTGATCTCCGCAATTTTGATACTGGGCTCCAACGTTTAAAAAAATCTAACCTGAACCACATCATCTTGCTTAGACAAATTACAACGACCTTAAATCAGCTCGTCTGGGGATGTGTTTCCATTCAAACTACTATTTGGCCATGACTTGGAGGTCCCTCAACTTTTGCGGCGGAAAGAGTTAGCTTTCTGAATTACAGTATGTTCTGCCATAATATGACTATATGCTAGTGGGTGTAAAAACCACCATGGCTTTTGCAATTCTGTCACGAACACACAACCATCAGGCAAAGATGCTTTGCTGGGTGAAGTGTGGACCATTTCCAGGACAGTTTGAGCATCGCACGGGGTTTGTGTTGGATCAAATAACGGCCTCCAGTCGTGCAGTCCTGGTGGTGGAGGATGCCCATTGTAGCTTTCAGAAGTACTGGCATTTTTTGCATGCATTGGCAGCATTTTACAGACATCATTTGCAATCAAGAAAAACCACCTTGAATCGGGTGCCTTTGACAGTATGGAACAGCAAAAATACTGCATTTGAGGCAGTCCACTCTTCTCCTTCACGCCACAGATTGAAACTGGCCCTCAGGTCCAGCAGGAACATCGCGGCCTCGGGGCGTACTCAAAATGCAACCCTATCCAGCCTTGGTTCAACGTCCGTTGCTTGCCATGAATTCTGGTTTTGTTGGCGATCAACAAAGTCTGCTGCACCAACTTTGCACCGCATCAGCTCAATTTTGGTGAGACTTCTTGGCATAAGGCTAACTGCACTCCTGACTGCAGCCCCCTCCATGTCCAAACCATTTCGGCTGCAGCTTTATGGCTTCGCCCAAGGCTGAAGTATGCCCCAAAATTGCCAATTCACGGAGAAAAGGTATGAAAAAAACATGATAAGCCCTTGGGTTCTAGGGGCATCCTCTCGGAAACCAATGTTGATCATCTCCTTTCAACCAAAGGTGTGCAGCAAAAGCCGCGCCATACATGCGCAGATTGCAGCAGTCTCGCTGCAACTCACTTCTCGCTTGTGTGGGATCTGACGTACGGCAGCACAAGAGAGCGGATCCACAGACACAAGTTTCCATCGAGTCAAAGGATATCTAGGGTAGAACATCTTGGTTAACTGGAGGAAGTCCCTTGGAATTAGATTTCCTGCTGCGATCACCGACTGAAGCGTTTCAGGTACAGATTCGGCCCAGGATGCTGCAAATGCCATCAAGAACCGAGGTGGCCAGGGACACTGGGAACCAACCAGTGCCTCGCAAACCGTCTAGCGCTCCGTTTGGAAGTTGATGGTCTGCGAGCCCCCAAATTCAGCTCATGCGGCCTGTGGATCCAGGGCTCAATTTCCGCAGAAAACCTTCGAACCTGAGAACCTCTCTGAAACCAGAAAATCTCGCAGCACATGCCGTGGTCCTGCGTATAAGATATATAGGTTCAGGTCAAAACCTTTAAAACCTCAACTCAATAGAAGTTGGTCCCGTTGAGCCCCATCCATCCAATCTTTGGGTCCCCCAATCCTTGCCCTAGTGGCCCACACCGCTTGCCGTTTTTGCTTCTAGGAAAGGGAGTGGGAAGCCTCTAGATCTTCCACTTCCTCTTCCTGCTCTGGCGGCGCTGGCGGCTCCTGCAGGGAACGAGGTATGACCTTAAACCTCAAAAGGCGGAAGAAGAAGAAGAAGAAGAGGAGGAGGAGGAAGAAGAACAAGTAGCAGTTCCGAAGTTGGGGACCGCAACCACCCCAAGTTGCTCTGAGACCCATTTTTCTCAACCATTTCTCAGCAGCCGCCTGTGGGCCCATGGAGATCTGCCCAGGCTTAGCTTCAAAGAGTTGGTTGGTCTTGTGCACAGGCTCGCCACTCAGTTTTAGCCTGGGTGCGGCAAAGACACCATAGCTTGGAGTAGACCAAGACATCCAAGAACCCTCATGTTCAAACGACCCCGTCCCAGCATCCCTTGGGATGCCGCACACCACTCCGTGGGGCCAGCCCGCTGCAATCTTTGGTTCGTTCTGCTGCAGCCATGCATACCTGGCAATTTGGAACATCAGAACCCGTAAGTACTTACCCATACTCACACTGAGACTTTGGGGCTGCACGTTTAGTTGGGCCGCGCTGGTTGCATCTCACACGTATGTTGCCAGGACATGCAGGCAGGCGTATGTACGGAACATAACATAACATTTCAAAGTGGAATGGTCATCATCTTAGATCTCATCAATCTCATATATTTGAATCTATTCATGTACCTGACCACTGTTGGGCTTTGATAGCACTTGGCCACCTCCACCACTATGCCAGCACTGCCTTTTTCCAAGTCGTGACAAGCCACACACGCCGCTGAAGCTCTTCAATGCTATCTGCTGAGGAGAGTTGGATGGGTCCAACTGGCACAGGATTTCCGCTGCCATCATCGATTAAGATTCGGATCTTCCCACGACGAATCCTCAGTGCATACTTCGCCCTGAAAATCACGGATCAAATCATCAAAGCGGACAGCAGTTAATGTGGGAAAACCATGGAAAACCGTATATTTTCCCATTTGCCACTATTGATGTTTTTTTCATGTTTTTCCCTGTCTGCTTGTGGAAAAAAACCTCTGGGGCTCTGGGGATCCCGTTGAAATCACACCGCACCAGTTATTCTCCGGTGGACTCCCCGTTCCCATCTTGGGCCCCATTCGGAGTCCAGTTTGTGATTCATTGAATTTATTTGGGGAGAGGAGAGAGAAACCCAAAAAAAATGCTACAGTTCTGGAGGGTCAAATCCCCATGAAGTCTTCTTACATATACATACATAACGTAACATAACATAACGTAACATTACAGTACAGTACACTACATTACATTACATTACCTTACATGTATTACATGCATTACATGCATTACATACATTACATACATTACATACATTACATACATTACATGACATAACATAACATAACATTACATAACATTACATACATACATACATACATACCAAACCATACTGGGTGCAATATGGCAAAATGTTTTTTGGTGCTTCAAGGCCGCATCAAAAATACCGTCCAACTAAAATGCTGTGTCGAATTCCCCTCATATGTTTACAGTATGTTTTCAAATGCTATGGTTTGAAATCACCATCAAACCAATCCCGGATGGATTCAAACACTCAAATCTCACGTACCAGAATGGTGTAAACTCAGCGCTCGAAACCCCATGAAACATATGTTGGTAAAGATGTTTGCCGTAAATCTTAAATCGCCATCAAGATGGATTGGTGCCACCTTTTTGGTGCTGGAAATTTCCCCCATTCATCCCCATTGAAACCCCAATAACTGGCGGGTAGGATGCTCCGATTCCCCCAGTTAATTCGATGTCTGGAAGCTTCCGATGGAAATTCCAAATTTTGGATGCTTAGATTCCCAATTCATTAAAAATTCCCACGAAAGTTCCCACAGATTTCCCACTTGTGATTCCCACAACATCCGCCAGTTCTTCCCCACCTGATTAGATTTCCCCAGTTAACATGTCCTCCCATGGAACTTCCCCATGGAACTTCCCTAGAAATCCCAGGCACTGCAGTTCCTCCAGGTGCAGCTTCTGCAGCTCAGCCGACTTGGCGCGTTGCCGCTGCAGCGACTCCTCCCAGGTCGCCTGGCCCCAAAAAACAACCTGGAAAATGTGAGAAAAATAGGGAAAAATTGGGGAAAAATTGGGAAACATGGGATGAACAATGGGATCAAGATGCTGAAACTTGGAGGATCGGATGACAATTCGGTGCGTTTGTGCATTCAAAGCAGTTCAAGTGGCGGGAAAAGGGGGACTTTGTCAACTATCATGGGAGAATTTAGATGGTTTTCAGTGGGAAATTGTAATGATAATGGGGATAAATGAGATAATCATCATCATGACATGGAAACAAATGGGAAGTAATGGAAAGAAATCGGAAGAATAAAATGGGAAGAAATGGGAAATTTAGAGTTGGAGGATCATTTCAATGAAATTAGAACGGAATTCATGATGGAAAAAATGGAATAGATATATATATATATATACATTTGTTGGTTATACCCCTGAATTGCGGTTTTCATGAGAAGAAGTTTTGGGGTATGCCGCTTTTCAGACAGAAAGCAAATCAGCGGAAGGAAACAATGTAAATTGTGCGAAGCATAAACGGCCAAAATGGTAGGCATAAAATTCTATGGCCGACTGATTCCAGTATACGGGTGTGACCAGCCTCAAACCGTGAAATATGATTGAAGATGGTTCGAACCGAACCACCACTCAGTCTTGCTAGTGATACCATCTTATGTGGGTACAAAAGTTTGGTGAACTTCCCATACCGATGGTTGCCCTCCGGTGCTCCAACCTGGTACTGGAAAATCCAAATCTACAAATATGCGAATTTCCAGGCGCAATGGATAGAAAAAAAACTGATTTGGGCAGTCGTATCGTTTCAAGACCCACAGGCTTCGTTTGGGTGAAACGCCGCCCAACACCCGAAATGCAGGCCTGCTGCTTGGCGACACACTCTGCTGCAAGCGCATCAATCTGGCCACGGCAACAAATGACACACGACCCTCAAAAATGTGCACATGGAACCCAAGGCAGAAAAAGTTCGAAATCCCTTCGTTCGAATTTTCTATAGAGCCTCCCTCTGTGGTTCCGGCCAAGACACGGTGTGTCCTGGTGCCCAGTTTCTAGTCACGCCGCGGGCCTGGGACTGGGCCTGTTTCATCGCTGAGACTTCCTGCTCGACCTTCTGGAAGAGACTCGGCAAGAAGTGCCTGCCACATCAATTCAGGTGACGCCGGAGCCCCAAATGGGAGCGTCATTGGCTTGGAACTTGTGATCCCAAGCCTAATGCCAGTTTAAAAACCCCACGTATTTGGAAACTGTTTGATGGGTATAGTTCAGTATAGTTCAATATAACTACCAAGGTCCTATCCTCCAGCCGCCTCTGAATGTCCACGTCATCTGGATCCGGAAAGACCAACTCCTTGAGGTAGGTCTTGGCATCTGGCACCAGCGTGGAGAGGTGTTCCCTCGCGATGTTCACCGCCTGGATCCTCGGCGCGAGGGCCGAGTGAATAGCTCGCCAGTATATAATATACCATAATGGTGATATAACATTATATACATACGCGTGTGTATATATATATACACTCACATACAATAACAATAACATACAATTACAATAAACAATAAACAATAACGACAGAAAACGCGAACCCCAAACATTCCATCTTGGTCTGGGGTACCCCCTGCTTTCGACGAAAGCAAACGCACTAAAAGTGGAGAGACTGCACGGACATGGAACCATCATGAACCATAGAGCGTCGAGGTGCTTCAGCCGGAGTCGCGCATCTTTCTCCTTCTGGGCTCTTGCCTTGGTCAAGACCAGCTCCTTCTCATGCCATCGCACCCATTCCTCACAGGCCATTGGCAGAGCCTCTGAAACAACTGCCTCTGGACTTTCAAGCCAAACCATATGGCTCGTACCATCTCAAGCCAAAGGTGACTTCCGTGTCAACTTTTTATACTTTACTTTACTCAAAACCCTATCTGCACAGTCCATCGCCACAGCTTTAGACCCTGCTTTCGGCCGGAAAAATCCTCTCCTCCTCCACCTGTTCTCTCCATGCAGCCGGGTATGCCCGCTGCCTCGCATCCCAAGCCAAGTGGCCCAACAATGGCTGGAAAACAATGGGATCAACATCTGGCAATAGAACTTGGCAACTGGAAAACCTTCATGTTCAATAGGTACTTTAGCTATCTTTGGCTACTCGCGGCCATAATGCTCCAATTATAAATTGCCCTTGTTCCATTGCCAGGTGTACTGGCAGCCTATTATTAACATGGATCAACAAATGAGACTGGGATAGAATCACGACAGCGTATTGAAGTCCCAATCACCAAACCGGAAACATGAAGAAACAGATTTCGGCCCTGCCTACTGGCTAACTACAGAAAAATATCCCGTGCCCGCCTATCATACCATGCACTCTTGAACTGGCTCATTGCGGCAAGTTCGTGCTCTTCCTCTACTTCCTCACAGGGCGCAGATTTTCAGTGTTCTTTCAGCTCAAAAGAATTTTGTGTTCCAAAAAATTCACGAAGGCACATCATCCGACCAACCAAGCAACTAAAATGGCGAAGACAAACCTCTTGGAACAATAACAGAACTAGGCTATGGCTATGATTCTTCTCTGAAAAGCATCCACCTTTGTGCACACTCTCTGTGGTGATAAGTGAAAGCAATTCTCTGACAACACGTTCCGATGTTCCAGGATTAGACATCTATGTCTCTTTCCAAACTAAAATCGCTCATTAAGTGGCATGTGTACATGTATTTATTTATATATATATATATTGATTTATCAACAAATATACACACATATAGATATAGATATAGATATAGATGATAGATGATAGATGATAGATGATATAATGATATGTATTCGGGAGAAAAGAACGAAAACCTGCCACTTTCCCTCGGAAGGTTCCATGATGGACTGCTCCAAGGTCTTCATCACCTCAAGAAATTTGACGGTCAAAGGCTATAGCTAAGTGGGCTAGTAGTTCTATACAGAATTTTGCCAGATGGGTCCCAATGGTCTTCGGTTGCAGGTTGACAAGACACCAAAACGTCCAAGATGGGTTCGACCTCGCGATCAAAGTCAAAGAGCTCACCGTCCTGTAGCATTCTGCATTGCCAGGAGGTCATCATAAATGATTCAAATGATGGTTGTGTACTATAATATCGAGAATCATTGGGAATTATCGTTGTTCTGGATGACCATTGTTGTTGGGAATCTGCAGAATCCCCATAGCCATCATTTACCATAGCCATAGCTCAACCATGGTTCCATCAATGATGGTCAATATGGAATCATCCCAACAATGGCTCTTTCTGGATGTGAGAATATTGGATAAATTTCCATCATTTTTGCCCAGATCCATGGGGCACAAATGAGACTGCGACTGGCAGTGCATCCAATGGTTCCAATGAATGTCCTCCACCTGGGTGAAAGCATCGATGCCAGTCCTGGTTCCAACATGGGCCACATGGGTGGTTGCGGCTCCCAGGTCTCTCGCCATAACACGAACAACAGCACATTTCACACTATTGGGGATGGACCAAAAGCTATTGAATATCATATTGGGGATGATGAACATCCATAAATATCATAAATCTAAGCGATTTTGGTGTGAACGGCAGGGCTTTACCCTATACTATGATCCTTGGGGTCAGTAGGTCTTCCTGACACGTTTCAGCAGTCCTTTGGGGCTGATACTGTTCCTGCGGTGGCTCTGGAAGGAACTCATCGGTCTGCGACTCCATCACTTCCATCTGCGCCAGGCACCAGGAAATCCCACATTTGGGTGACCTTTCTATTGGGGTGATTACACAATGACGATAGCTGGTTGGTGGTCTCACCACCCTCAAAAGAATGAGTCATTGCGGATCATCAATTTTAAGTTTGGGTTTTGGGTTTTTTAAAATAGATATGGAACTACCGACCAAATAAGATGGTTGTGGTTCCACCCCTAATATGGCAGATGGGACCCAACAAAAAATGCCATAGAGGAAAATCATCTTTCACACCCCATTTTTCGGGGCCTGGGTAAAATTCAGAGGGGATGTAGGATGGTTGTTACAGAGCATGATTATACAAAATGAGTAAAAATTCAGGATAGGCTGGTCTGACATTTCTTTGCTCCGAATTTTGACGACAGGCCAAATGTAAGCGTGTATGCATGTGCATGTATTCATACATACACGCCCGGGTTTGTACAACTCACCAGATCAAGATATATCAAACCCATCATTTCTCCAATGGAAATGGCCATCAAATTGCCGTGAACATTGACGAAGCCAAACCCGCAAGGCTCCAAGGTCTGGCAGGTCTGGCAGGTCTGGCAGGTCTGGCAGGTCTGGCAGCGGGTCCAAACCGTGAAAGCCGCACCTGCGGAGGCTGCTCATTGGCCACTAGGTGCTTGGTAAGATCTACTGCCACACGCTCATGCTCGGGCAAGGGCATGTCGAAGATAGAGGGCTCCTCAAAAAACCCGTGGTCACCCCTCGGACCCTGCGGTTGCAACAGATGTGAAAAAAATGCGGAAAAAATTGAGGTTCCCACAACTTTTACAAGTAGATCTTCCTCCATCTCAAGGACCAGAATCTCAACATCAAATCAGAATGTCGTTGTCACAAAACCAAGGCATTCTCCAGGTCACAGCAAGAATACTCGGACTAAAACAATCTAAAATAGCTTGCATGTGCATGTTGATCTTCCCATTTCCATGGTCCCATATGGTGGCATGATTCATTCCCAAACCGCCAGAGGCTCCTTGACTTTCCGCTTCCTGGGAACCTTCTTCTCAGCTTGCTGCTTCTGGGCAGTTTCGATGGCCTGGAGGAGCTGTGGGCTCTTTTCGGGGCAGCTGAAATCAGGCGATTCGCGTATAGAAAAGCGGTATATAATGGCATATGACTACAGGATAAATGTAAACTGTAAACTTAGACAAGACATACCAGAATGTGAATCAAAAAATGCTTTCTTGGTCGATTCTATCTATTTTGGGGATCCCTACTTGCCTTTGGTTTACTTCTGTGTAGCATGGCTCGATGCTGTGATGTGCAAGCCAGAATTCCCAGCACCGTCAAGGGAAAACATGACATTCCACCGCTTCTAGCAGAGCCCCCCTGAACAAATTGATCCAAGTATTTTTTGGAAAAGGCACCAAATCCTAAAGTTATCACAGAAAAATCAATACCAAACACTAGGCATACCAAAATTGTCACATCACTCACATCACTCCTACTTTATTGGAGCTCTTCATCATCAAACTACCACACGCCTCTTTGATAGCATTCTGGGTGTACATGCTGTAGGTGTTGCCCCGATGCACTCGCTTGTCCCATGAGATGCACGTCTCCTTGACCTGAGTGTTACGCTGGCGATCACAGCTTCCATCGCCGGCCCCAGCATTCAACACTCATGCAGCATGTCATACCAAGTCGACTAAGTCGCAAGTGACCCTTGGACTGCATTCAAAAAATGAACACAATATGGATGTCATGTCAAAGTATATAAAAAGACATAATCGTATGAATGAGTTATGCGTCACACCATATATAATATAATGTCACATCTCGACAATTTCTGCTGGACCCATGGCCATCTCAGAGGCTTCCCAGGCAAGGAACATTTCGGTATAGGCCGGGCTCCACATCTCCGGGCTCTCGGTACTTCTTCCGTGTCACGGCTTTGGGCGCCGAGCTGAAGGAATAGGTGGAAGATGTCTGTCCCGCCGCCATGTCTGATCAACACCTTGGCACGGAATCCCTTGGGAATGTTTGGAAACTCCCCTGCTCTGGCTATGGAAAACTCAGAAGAAATTCAAGATGTTTTGTGAAAATCATGGTTAAATGATGTTTGTATGCTGTGCTTCAGGGTTTCGCATTGAGATACTACAGGCCATAGGACCTCTCTCCCCAGAAACACTCCGAGAGGCAGTCCACGACTCCGCCAAGTTTATTGTAAGCGACACGCCGACAGGGAACCTCCACGTGTTTAGCCCTCATTTGGTAAACCAAATAATAAATCCAACATTTGGGAAATAGACTCAGGTCTGTAACACGCATCTATGGTAATATTGGGAACCACTTATCATGGGGTTTACCACCGTAGTCGGTTTGAGCGTGGCCACAGCAACATGCGGGGTTGAAGTAAATGGGTTGCGTGACCAAATATAGCAGCCATCAAGCGGACGAAACTTGAATAGAATCGTCATCAAAGCAACTGTATTGCCCACCTGCCAGTGCGCCACAATGGTCCCGAGAAGGGCCCTCTTGGCCCGACGGAGCCACACTTGTTGCGGAGCCAGGCAAGGTTACACTCTGTACATCACAGGAAGTCTGAATATCACAGCCCAAAAGTTACACAAACCCTTTGCACTCTCCCATCTTGGGTCTCATAAATGCAGGCTTTTGCGCGGAATCATAACCTATTCTCATCTATCTATGCTATGTTCCCCAGCTGTGATCCTCCATGAGGGAACTGTCCGCCGGACCGCGACAAGCCACCCTTGTTTCACTGAGTCAGTGGATCGATAAATATCAGCCGCTTTGTGCTGCCGGGCTGCGGGCTGTGTACAAAGGAGTCAGCCGGAGGTGCTTCAGTCAAAGGTCAGGCGAGAGATATTGGATCTGATGAATTGTTACCACCAAGCTGGAAAGAATCAACTACGAAACTACGCAGCAGACTCCAAATTCTCGGGAGAATATTTGAATTCAGGCACTATCAAACTGTTGGATTGACGATTTGTGCGTCCTCCACAGCTGCTGTATACATTTTTAAAAAAAATCTGGGTGTTTGCGCCTGTGAACTGACTGGTAGTTGGTTTCACTACCTTGACAGGACAGAACTTCAGGATACGATAGCTAGTGGGGCCCATGTCAGGAGGCGATCTGACCCCTCGTTGGCTCGGAAAGGATTGCTAAAGATCCTCAGATCACCGCCATCGATTTGGACGGCCCCGTGCAACAATCGGTTTTGCAGCTCAAAATTCGGTGCTGGAGCAAACACAGTTTCCAGCATTTTTCTCCACATCTTCATCTATGTCTGACAAAAATGTACATCTCACGAAGAGCTGCCTCAAAAGAGCGTACTGGAGACTGATGAACACAAAGCAAGCAATGTGCCGAAGGCGTGAGGTACGTTTAACTCTTGATGATCATCCAGACCCCATCCAAAATACTGAAATCCTGATATATCCGAATAACACCGAGGTCAGAGTCATTTCTTGTAGATCCATCTGGTCTTGCCCAGCATTAGCTGGCTTCCCAAGCACTCGCCTGAGCAGCCGCGCATCTTGCATCAAAGTGGCGCTGAAGATTGGAGACTATGCTAAAGCCATCCTCCCTCTTGTTGCCGAAGATCGAATCTACCTGTTCCTGCCGCAACGTCTATGGTACAAAACCACAGCGTGGGCCAAAACCACAGCGTGGGCCAGCTCCACATTTCGACGAAATAATTGTCTGACATCCAGGTTTGAAAAGTTTGTGAACACGGAATGTATGATGTATCACAAAAACTGGAAACACTGAAATAGTTGGAAAATGTAATTGGAAATATGTGCATGTGTAAATAAATAAACAAACAAACAAACAAACAAACAAATAAATAAATAAATATAAATAAATATAAATAAATATATATATATATATATACGTAGATACACAGGAAAACCTACCTGGCCGATTGAAAATTCCACATGTATGACTAGAGGTTTCAAACAGATTGGGGATTTTTTTTGGGAACAGATGGTTCTAACTTGTTTTTTCTCAGAGACTGATGCCTCACAAACGGATTGCAGAGAAAAACCCGCATTCATTCTGCTGTTGCTGACATCCTCAATGATTTCTCATACATGTCGAATTATATGCACACAAACCGAGATGAACACCTACGTATGTGTATATATATATATATAATTATATAATTATTTATTTATTTGCATGTGTGCATATATACATATATCTCCTGTATATAAATATAAACATAAATATAAATATAAACATAAATATAAATATATATATATATATCTGTGTGTATGCAATGTACTGTAATGTAAAGTAAGGAAAGGTAACGTAATTAATGTGACATAAAGTAATGTAAGGTAATGTACTTCATGTGTGTGTATGTGCAGTATTGCCCTCTGATGAGTTCGGAGTTAGGTTTCCCAGTGACATAGGAGTTGTCCAGGACAACTCTTAACTCATGGGGAAAGCTTTGAAATTACACTAAAAGTCACATAGCAGGCAGAGTTCTCACTAAGTCCTATGAGTTCCTGGAAAAACTCCGGCCAGCTCCCCCAAAAAATGGAGAGGAATATATATATATATATAGATAAATAGATAGATAGATAGATAGATAGTCTGAATATGGATACATATATATATATATATACATAGTATACACGCATTGTAGAGTAATTATCTAGGAGCCTACAGCAACATGCAATGAAAGGGTATCCACTTGGAATTAATCTTCCTCTGAATGTCCCCCTAGGTTTGAAGTGACTATCACCGCGGCATCGGTGTCCCAATCTCTACTTCAACATTGCTGTTGCTTACACCACCGTTGTTGGCATACTGGCTCAACCTGTGGTCCCAGGGTCCTTGGTCACTCGTTGAGCTTCGAAAACAAGCCTTGACGCTGACAGCAACTGGACATCCCATCCATAGCTATGGTTCATCTAAACGAATTGTATGATGATTCATCCTTAAACATTGAAAAACATCGAGAAAAAGTCAGCGGTCCCTTGAGTCCCCAAGTTTGACTAAGACCCCGCCAGGTGTGCCTCCATCCTCCGCAACATGGACTTCAGCTTGGCCTCCTCGTGGCATATGGACACTCCACCCGGTGGAGTTCATTTTCCAAACGGAAAACCTATGGGTGTTCCATGTGTTAAGTTACCGGTCGTGAAAAATGTCCCACTAGATAGGCCAACTAGCCTTGATTCTCAAAGTCTTGGATGTCAGCACGTCAAAGTCTAAAGGTGAGGAGTTCTTCGTTATTGGTTGCACTTTGGGTTCAATTTTCCTCTTGGGGAGTGCTAGTGTCTTCTCCATTTCCCAAGGCCAAGGCAGCGAAAGAAAGCAGCATCAGCAAAGTCCAAGGCATCTCCTGCAGCCGTTGAGCGTGGCATGACGTGGAAGACTGGTCCAAAAAAAGTCACGTCTGGAAGACACCAACCACAAACCCAAACTCCCCCGAATGAAACCCGGAGCGCTCCAGACATGAAGTTTCGTTTCCCAGTTCCCCATGAACCCATTGCAAATAGGTGCCCAGTTCAAGGCCACCGTGGCGCAACAATTCACTGTTCGCATCGGGTTTTTTATGGGTTTGGGGCTGTCATGGTGCTAATATAGCCTAAGGAAAAGGTCAAGTGGGCCAACCTGCTCTTCATTGAGGCCCTTTTGCCCTGAAATTGCTTTTCGCTTTGCACTCTTGGACTGTACTTTGGCCTTGGCCCAACAGCAAGCCACTGACTCAACAGCATCAGAAGCGCAAAAGCGCTCTGTAGCCCGACAACCGTTCACAATCTGTTTTATATATTTTTCACATGATCCTGGCAAAGAGCCCCAAACAGTGTTGCAAGGAACATAAAGAAATACTGCGATACCAGGGTAAATTATCCAAGTTCCCTTTGTGAAGATGTCTGTAGAAGATCGTGTGTGAGATCTCCGTGACAGGTTATGTGTAGAAACTGCTGTGCAAAATCCCCTTGTAAGGCTACCTGTAAGGTGTCTGGAAGACATCTCCACAGAAGTTCTCTGCAACAAATTTCAAAATTTCACCAGCATAGACCCCAAACAGCAACAACGCATGTTCCCACCAAGGTCGTGTGCAATTAAAAAATTCACGGAACTGTCTGGCACACTCCTGTCTTCTGTTTTACACCTTCATTACTTCAACTGTACAAATACGAGGCAATAAAAGAGACGCCCCGACGCATCCAGGAATCCAGACAGAGTGGAGGTCTTAATTTTCAGACGAATGCAAAATTGGTACAAGCTGTTTTCTCTTGAGAACAATAGCGCCAGCACAAGCCCGTGTGACTTCCGACTAAAGAGACACAGCTGCCCCTGAAACAAATCGACGAGAATATGGAGGCTTCCATCTGGCTGACGGTTGCTCGATGTCTGAAAATGCAAAAGAATTCAAAAGACTCAAAAGATCTGTGAAGATCCATGTCCATCCATTTCAATGCATCTCATGCTCGGTGTCAGCAAGAGTCAGATTGGAAGGGGTGACACGCTCAAGCCGAGCCGTCAAAAGTCAGCGGCCCAGTCATCCTGCACAGTGTGGTTGGAATATTCAAAGCAAATTAATGATTTCCGCGGAAGACTCAAAATAGCAAGATGGAAGCCACGAACCCGAATGTCCACACGTTTAGCAAATTCACATGGTTAAAACGAATTGTGCGTTTGCACTGGCTTGCTGTGAGAAAACGCCTTCTGCCATCTCCACAGACGTTCTCTGTAACAAATTTCAAAATAAGATCCCTGTTCAAGCTCTCTATGACATCTTCGAACGAGATCTGCCTTCTCTTCACCAGGTCTCTGCACAAGATCTTTGCAATAGGTCTCTTTGTTCGTACAAGATCTTTATAACAGCTTTGTTGGCAAGATCTCTGTAAGAGACCTCTTGGCAAGATCTGAACAAATCTCTATGCAACGTCTCTGTACAAAATCTCTATCAGAGGCTTCCATGGCAAGATCGAGACGTGCCAGCTCTCCACACAAGACCTCCTTGCCAAGATCTCTGCACAAGATTTCGGCGGGTAGCAAAATCAGCCCTGCACCACAACGATTGCAACCTGACACACCCAAAGTGCCGAGAGGGTTGCGCGAGCGATCTCAACATGAGCAACACCCACAAAGAGAGCGATTTGAGAAGCCCCGAAATGACGAGAGGGTTGCGCGAACGATTGCAAAATTCGCACCGCGCCACAACGAACGAGAGCGATCTGAAAGGCCCAAAGTGACGAGAGGGTTGCGTCCAAGGAAGATCATTTCCTGCGAGGCTTCCGTCAAAAACGAAAAAATGAAGGAGCGTTTGTGTTGTAATGATGACCAAATTTGCCGTTCACGCTTCCCAATGTTACGTCCATCGAAAACGGAAGCTGAAGGATTTTTTGTGCTGTAAAGGTCACCAAATGTGCCGGACACGGATGCTACCGCCAGAAATTAACACCAGGCCAGGCCTTATCTATTACCGTGTAAAACCTCACACAAATGTGGCGACACTGTTCAATGAAAAATTGATGAGTCACAATGAAGTGGGAGTTTTCCGCTGTGCTAACCAAGATGCACGTGCCCTCTTCATCTTCATGCATCCATCTTCACAAACTTTCCGACAACATGGCGACGTACCCAGCCACCGGCAACAAGCTTGCAAGACTCATCCATGCAACTTGATCAATAGCAGTGCACCATGTTACCGCGAAACGTCGTGATAAATCCATTACCACACAACAATGTCAGGATACATTCCAATAGATTCAGGAAAACAAAGACCTTTGTGTATTTTTCCAAATGTCATGCGGTGAGTGTCATTATTTGCAAATTTATTTGAAAGTCGGGGGTTTTGATTTTTTGTCTGCCAGTTTTGAATGGGTCGTGACATTTTCCTTGTCCATTGCCATGGTCACGGAGACATGAGGAATCATACTTTGAAAGGTGCAGCGGGATGCGCCTGTCAGGGGCACGACCATGGTTCAAAACGTAAAAGTACTGCAGTGTATGAAGGTCAATGGCCCTGATCCAATCATAGTATAACCACTATCCACACGCGTCTGGCTAGCTCTGGCACCTGCCTGTTTCCGAGGTTTCCAAAGTCTTCCATCAAGCAGTGCCTGCCGTGGTCACGTGTTTGTGCATTATTGTACATTGAGGTGGCCCTTGCCACAAATAGATAACCTAAAGCGACATTATATGGGGATACACAAAGCAGCATCATTCAAAAAAATATATCAACAGGGTCAACTTAAACCTTAAGTATAACAATGATGATAAAAACAAATGTAAAAAAACAATTGGAAAGAAATAGAATTGGAAATAAAAATTGTTGGATAAAAAAAAATGATTTCAGCACAGGGTGTTGATTAATCATGTCCCAGCCAAACGGTTCATTAATCCTGGAGGACCACCTTTTTGTAAATTACACTCTCGGACATTCGTCTCAAAGTCACGCGAACGTGTGAGACCGGTGCTAACGCCGACGAGTATTTCAAATTATTTCGTGAGCGCAAGGACCGTCAGAGGAACTAATTAAATGCAGGCACTCAGATGTCTCTCCTCCTCCAGGCCACCAACCCTTCGGAACAGAACTTCGCACTGGTGATGACATTCATCCAGCTCACGGTTCAAGGTGTCAACCTGAACCTCGATAGTTGCAGTTGATGCAAGTCCTCCACGGGCTTCCAGCTGCATGAGCTTCATAGACATCTCGTCCAGTTGGTTCTGGTCTGCAGGATTGGTTCTCGAGAATCGATCTCGCTCCTCAATGACACCATCAAGTGTCGAAGCCAGTTGATCGCACCCAATGTCATTCGCGATGAAGGAGTCCTGGGTATCCAAGGCTTGGGCCTTGTATTGAGAAACTTTGTTTCTGGCATCATCCAAATGCTCAGCAAGGTCAGAGCACTCGATACCACGTCAGATGGCGAGCTGTCTCAGCTCTTCGATCTTCTTGTCGATATTGTTACCATTCTCCTCGGTCTGAGAAGCAGCTGTCATAGCCGCTCCCACGGGCACTGGTTTCGGGAGAGGCATAGACCTTGTCCATCTCCAGATCCACCAAGCGACCTTGTCAATGAAAGCAATGACGAAGATGGTCATAATGTAGATCCATGTCCACTTGCCGTCACTTGCCATTGTCCTCGGTCACCTCAGATCCTTTTATGGATTCTGCGTCAGTGTCGTGATGGATCCGGGAAGTCATAGAAACCCTTCACTCTTCTCTCTCCTTGGGAGTCTTCTTCTTGGAAGCTGTGTAGGATGTATCATCCACAAGTTGCAGCCAACCACTCTTCAGCGCATCAGCCATTTGCTGGCGAGTCCCGATCTTTGTTAGCCCATCAGCTAACTGTCGTTCACTTGATGCCCACCGAAGATGCCCATCGAGTGAAGATTGAACTCCTTTACGCTGGATGAGGTCGTAGAGAGCTTTGCAGTCGGTGACAACTGCAGTTGGGATGTCAAGGTTCTGCTGGGCGTCCTTGATTGACATGTTCTGGTTGGGCAACATGCATATGCACATCTTGGTGAGGTATAGGTCTCCTCGAGTGCGCTTTCCATTGCTTGACTCTCTGCACTGAGTGAAGCTCTGCACAGCCTCGGAAGCTTGAAGCTCCTCCATGCCAGTGTGCTATATCTGCACTTATCACCCTTGAAAGCCTTGCGATCAGTCGCAACAATCACATAACCACCCTGTGAAGCCAGGTCCATTCGGACAACAAAGGCGGCATCACAAAAACAGATCAGGGCCGGAGGCAATCTCCTGGAACTTCATGGGATGGTTGGCAATCTCCTTGCCAAAACGCAAGGCTTCGTTGAGAGCTTCCATGACCGTTCCATCACCACGAGGAAATTCTCCCCCAAGTAGACTTGTTGAGGCACATAGAGGCGGTACGCCTTGTCCTCCTGGCCACCGAAGGGCTCCGAGAAGTCCTCGGCACTTTGAGGTCTCAAAGTCGTTGAGCTTGTCCTTCAAGCTACGTTGGTTTGGAATTGTGATCGGACAGATCTTCTTGAGGTACTGCAGGTAGCTAACCTCGATCATGTTGTCAGTCCTTTTGGGAGTTCCCCCATAGTAGGTCACATCGTTGTTTGGAGTAAGCTGTTCCCAATGGCCAAAGTCGAAGCCCCTTCGTCAGGGACAACCCTAGTTCCAAACTCGCTGGACATGTCTCCAGCCACCAGCACGTCGTCGACGTGCAGGATCAGCATTCCTTTCAGTTCACCTGAAGCATCATAGAATGCAAAGGTGCACTTGTCGATCTCCCGGGGTATGAGTTTGAGTCTGCGCAGTCGCCTTGTTGCGTCACGGAACCAAAGCAACGGGGCATCTGCAAGTCTATTATAAGCACTTTTCAGCATCCTCATGTGCACAGGATTGTGTGAATTGTAGCGCAAAAGTGGCCCGCAGTCTCGGGGCAATTGAACCAGGATCTCACGCATAAAGGTGACACCTAACAAGAAGGCGGCTTTGACATCGCCACACCATACAATCCATTTGAGAATTGCTCCGAAGGTGAGGAGGGTCAGTTTGCCGATTCTGGCAGCGGCTGTTCTTCTCCAAGTTGAACAAGTCCGGATCATCTGAGTCAGGTGATGGGGGTTTCCATGTCAGAACCATCTTGCAATGACCACACGGTCTTGTGGCACATCTCCTGACTTCTTGTCACTGAATTCCCACACATGGTTCTTGAAGTAGGATTGGAGTTCCTTCGTCTTCGCTTCGATGACTTGTGTTCATCTCACCCTTTCTCTGTCCCTTGACAGCTGATGCCACATAGGCCTCATCCAGTTAAAACTGGTTTTCAACCACAATCCAGCCTTCAGGAAGTGAGCTGTTGGAGGTGTCAATGAACATGACATCTTCCACGACCATTTCATCACCATCGGCTTCGTCCGGGATGGAGATCTCTTCAGGCTTGGTGTCCTCCTCCGTTCCTTCAGCAACATCATCTCGTTGTGGAGGAAGGTGAAATTGAGGTTGTTGTGGATGTTCCAAAGTCTGTGGGGGCTCAGTTGAGGCGTCACTGTCCCTTCTCCTCCTTGGTGTGCGCTCACGCTCATCTCGAAGATCACAAAGCATCAGGTTGACGATGCCAGGCATTTCAACAGTGTCGTCAAAGGCCTCGTTTGCGGCATAGCCATCGGACTGATTGTCCTCATCTGCAGGAACAGGACCAGGATGATGATCCTCTGGTTCATAGAGATCCTCAAGGATCGCCTCTAGCTTCTCGACATCGACATCTTTGGCCAGGTCTTTGAACTGTGTTGCTGACCGGGCTCTGGGTTCTTCCAGGTCCTTAAGAGCATCACCAATTGACCGGACATGAAGACCGTGTGTCTTCCACCATTGGTCGCACATGGGCTGGTGAACATCTCAGCACTGATGTTCCATGGACAAGCCATTGCACCGTAGTCTTGCCACCGCCATTGGAGAGCTCGACACCTACACATCGTGCAGGGCCACGCCATTTGGACTTCTGAAGACGTCCTGAGCCTTGAACCCGCCAGTACCAACATCTCTGGCCGACCAAGACTTGGTTCTTGTTCTCTTCGCACTTCTGGTTCATGTTACGGCGTAGTTTGGCATCAGTGTCGGCCTTCAAAAAGGCGATGCCAGCTTGCAGACGTTTCTGTTGAACTCCTGCAAACTTGCTGATGGTCTCGATGCTGTCAATACCATGGCTGTAGAGCTCAGACACCAGCGACATCTCTTGCCGATGTGTCCGTCCCAAGACCCACTGTGTCGGAGTGAACCCTTTGTGAAGCTCATCTGTGGAACGTAGGTGGCAGCCTCTTTGAGGTTGGAAAGGTTGGAACCACCAGCATCAGTCATGTAGAGCTCCAAAGCGCGGCGAACTACTTGGTGTCGTCTCTCCACAACGCCAAGCCAGTTGTGACTTGGGGCAATTTCCAAGATCACCCCATGATCTGAGCACCAATCTCGCACGGCTCTGGATTCCCAGCCTTTTATTGCAGCATCTACCCTCAGGTACTTCGCAGTGCCAAAGTGGCGAACCCGCGTTCTTTCCAATCCCTTGACAAACTCTTTGCCTTTTTTTGCTGGTGAGGATCCTCACAGCGATCTAGCGTGTGGCTTCATCACACATGGTCAGAAGGCATTGTCGTCCTTCATCAAGTTGGATCCATGAAGAGTCAACCACCAGTCGGTTTCCAAAGGTTGTAGAAGAAATAGCACCTAATGGAGGAACCTGGTATGGTTTGGCTCTGCTGTAGCAGCTGCGGCACACATACTTTTAGGCGGCTTGGATCACATTGTCTGTCGCCTGGACCTACTTGAGCATCTTGATGAGAACCTCTGGCGATGGGTGACACATGTTCTTGTGCAGGGGTGCCACATAGTCAACTGCTCGTGCGCCAACGGCTTTCTTGAGCATCTATTGGCCTTGATCGTATCTCGATCAGCTTGAACATCGGCAGGGGCTGATTCCTCTGGTAAGGCACTTTCTTCCATAATTGAAGTTCCCTGTCAGCATCCTCAGCGGCATTGATCTCCTCAAGAATCTCCTCACGCTGGGTAATGCAGTGAGCCAACTCATAGGCCATCTCACAGGGATACTCTTCACAAAGTCGTGAACGATGACCTTGACCAGCAATGTAGTCCTCGCACGGTGTGCGCTCATGATCTCCCTCGCATGCAAAGCGCAGCATGCGGTAGAAGAGGTTGCTCCTGGTTGTCAGGAGGCATGTAGGCTTTTTCACTGGACACACCACTCCATCATCATTCATGTGCTCGAGACCAAGTGTGCACTGCTCGATGTAGGTTGAGAACCCAAACAAATTGAAGAATGCCTTTGTTTTCCATGCTCGTGAGGGCCATGCTCGATTGTAGCATGCCTACCAGCTCGCTGTTGAATCTACAGGACAAAAGACCAAATGAGCGTCGTGATTTTCAGCACGGGTTTCCTTCAGGAACTTCTTTGCTTCCTCACTGCGAGATGCAATGAGCTTTTGGAGTGGGTTCCACAACTTGCATTCAGCGCTGATGTGGATGTCATCAGGCTCCTCTTGCGTGATCAGCTTGATGAACTTCTTGCGATCTGCCGGACGGCTAAAATCCCAGCCGTTCTCGATGCTGAACTTGACTCCAACGCAGCCAGGCAACTTATTGACTTCGTCAGTCAAGCGGCCTTTGCTCAGCTTGCATGTGGGCGGTGAAACATCCATCTCGGTGGTGCCTGCTGTGGGCTCTGCCGGTGTGGCAGTCACTGGCTTGGTTATCGTGGCCAGCACCATCATGAGACTGTTGAAAGCTCGTGCAGCTTTTGTCATCGGCTTCAATCTTGGCAGCATCTTCAGGGGGAGCCTGCTGGTGGTTTTGACATGGTCGGTTTCATCAGGGTTTATTCATTCTCATTGTTCTTAAGGTCCCCATGGTCAACGGCAAGTCTGACGATGAACTCGCCCTTGGGACCCAGCTCAGTTTGTTGCCACTCTCCACCCCGATATCGTATCATGTTGTGGTCATAGTCAACCACCAGGCCAAACTCACGCATCAGTGGACGTCCGATGAAGATCGGTGCAGTGCCACCAATGACAAAGCATAGTAATGCCAACATCGGATTAATCAACCCTCCCCCCCCCAGAAGGTCAGAACTCTACCTTGTAGGTCCCCCCCTTAAACCCCCCTTAATAATAAGCAACTCTGAACCATAAAACTTTGGATATGGTTTACGTCAATTAGATCTTAATAGAATTCCATTGATTTGTTAAAATCTCATGGATCAGAAAGGTTGTTGATTAATCAAGGGCAAACCGTGGTTATTATTAATGGGGGACATGGGTTCATGGGGGGTACCCTTTGGGAGCTATCCAAACTGATAAAGATTTTAATTAGAAATCGATCATTTGGGGAATAATTGTTTCTTGAAATTTTCAATGGTCAACTTAAACCTTAAGTATAACAATGATGATAAAAACAAATGTAAAAAAACAATTGGAAAGAAATAGAATTGGAAATAAAAATTGTTGGATAAAAAAAATGATTTCAGCACAGGGTGTTGATTAATCATGTCCCAGCCAAACGGTTCATTAATCCTGGAGGACCTTTTTGTAAATTACAAAAACAAAATTGGGCAGAGGGTGTTGATTAATACCGCTGGGATTAATAATCCTAACTTGACATTATCTTCCTTTTCCGGTAGCGTGGAAGAAAAGAGCACATACTCGTGATCTTCTTCTGGGATACTTCAAGCCTTTATGGCACTTGAAGACTTCAACCTCCTTGTTGACATCCCACCCGCCACCAGAGCCACTTCCAGTTTTCGAGGCCATTGCGGCAAAGGGTTTGCCAGAGAGGAGGGTCCTATCCTAATGCTGGGGTTTCTTGGCTACGCTACCAACAACAGGTCTTCCCACCTGACCCACGAAGTTCAAGGGACCAAACACAACAGTAACCCAGAGGGTTTAGAGGCGCAACCATGTAACTCCTCAGCTGACCGCGGTAAAGATCCCACCACTGATTTGGGCCAATGCCAATGTGGTCATGTGCAGTTCCCAAGTGCTCAGCGTAGCACTTCACATATATTACATATCGAAAATGGTAGGGTTGGCGAACTGTAGTTTATGTAGTTTTTGGCGATGTCAGGTTCTTCGGAAATCCATAAGCACAGGTTGGTGACAAACCATTGTCATCCCTATGACAATTATCATCATCACCACCATCAAATTCAACGCGCCTCATGGCAATCCACTCCGCGCGCCAAAGAGCATACACTGCCATGGCCTAAACTCGTTGGAAGTGATGCACACAAGCAAAATCCGGAAAGTAAGAATTGCATGGAAAAACTGCGAACTGCGGCAAGATATGCGTTCAACCAACATGCCCCGCACACATAAGCACACATATACACACACACGCACACACACACACACAGAGACGTTCGCCAGGCTGAACCAAGTTTCCACCACAAAACCAAAACAATCTCCAAATTGCAATTGCCAATGTTTGATTGCAAATGTGTCCGCGTTCAATGTTAAGAACCCGGACCAACAATTCAAGTCTTCAAATGTGCCAACCATGACTGCAGCTACCTCAGAAATAAATACATCACACAAAGTGCCCAAAGTTCCAGGAAAAATATTGTTGAAATTTTGTGCGTCGGGAAAAGTTTTTGTGGCAGAAAGATTTGGATGCGCGAGGGAAACGTGAAGGGGTCTGGTTCCAGCTGTCCTTTCGGGATTTTTTTTTCAAACGGGCACAAAACGGAATCGTTTAGCCATACATTAGGAACCCCTGATAAATCAGCATGTCAATCCGGAAATGCGCTAACTTGCACGGCGGTTGTCATTCAATGTGCGTTCCACCATCGGCACTTGAAGAGTCAATGTGGTAATTGTTGGCCGGCGAATTGAAAGTGATTGGCAACGTTAATGCTCTACTTCCCGTGGCCCCCACTTTGGCAAACATTCCCACATTTGACTGTATTTGGTATTTTGCTTCGCGCATTTCCCATCAAACTAGTTGACATTCTACACCGAATGCATTCTGGCATTTTATTCGCTAAAACATGCTAAAACACTCTCTGTGACCGATATGTTCGCATTTCTTATGGTATCCTACCCCATATTGTCTACATGGTTCGCATTTCATCCGGCATTCTGTCGGGCATTTTGTCATGCATTTTTCTGTCGGTTTCTACTTTTAAAAAAAATCCTTTGATCCCATTGTGGATATTACAACATTGTCGTGACAGTGTGCCTGCCAGTTATTGGTGTTCTATTTGATGCATTTTCACAAAGCTGTCACCCAAAAATATTATGCTAGTAAAGCAACCATACCTCAAAAATATTATGTTAGTCAAACAACCATGCCTATTTGTCTGATGCATACCAATCATTCAAACTAAAGTCGACTACGGGCTGGTATTGTTTCATTGCTATTACAAAAGTTTCACGTTTAATCCTGCCCGTCCATCGCGCGCACGTCTACAGGCATACCCTGCTCTTTCCACAGTTTCCGCTCATTTACACCAAATGAAGGCACAACATGGCATACGAAACATCAACCGTCGCCCTCAACGCTCCGTCAAATCAGCAACTTATCCGTGCGTCTGCACTCTGAAATGCCTATGTGCGTTTCGGCTGCACAGGCTCGCACAAAATGCGGCGAGGTGCCATTTCGCTCCTATCACCATGACAAGTTCCCTAAACAGCGCGTTTACAATGACAAGTTCCAACAATTTCAATGTCGCACGCTCGCACAACTTGGTTGTCGCGTTTTTGAGGAGCGGCATCCGGCCTCTAAATTTCCGCATCGAAAAATTTGGTAAAAATCTTAGTGAAAACCCAGCAATAGTTTGTCCATGATCTTGCGCAAATACTTATGACAAACTCGTCCAAAGGTCCTGGTGAAATCGTTTTAGTATCCTTACATGATCAGGCACACCTCCTTGTGGAAAACGCATCAATGTTCACATGGCCATACCTGGCCCACGAGCAGGGCAGCTCGGTCGCTGAAGACGATGGTTTGTAAGTGTTGGTTCATATTGGAACCGCGCCGACAAAGCAACGCCGTCGACAACATTGGTATCGATGGCACATCGACATTTGGAACGCGAGGGAAAAATACAGGGGGTTGCCGAACGATCCGAAACGCCACCTGGTGCCTGTGGCACTGGTTTCAAGCAAGCAAAGTTTTGCACCCAAGCACACGCTGGCGGACAACGATTCTTGTTTTTTTTCTCTGGGA